ACAATACTAAAATATCTAAATTTTCACAGCTACTACCTTAAAAAGACACCATAACTAGATATCAAGTCAGATGGAGACTTTTGTGAAACTGATAAAATATTTGTATCAGTTGCAAACAGTCTGACATTATAAAGAAACAACAATCCTTAAATAAGTGCAAGGCTCCTACCACAGCTCTTGGTATTGCATAGACAGACATTTAGAGGTATATTTCATTATTCATATTTAATTCTACAGCGATATCAGAAATATTTATTGTATGAAGTATGAAGAGATCATACCCATACTGCATTTTACTATTTCTGCAATAATTGTCTTATAGTTAGTTCATAAATGGAACTAGAGGTGACAGTGAAGCAATTCTTACTAGACATGAGACTTACAATAAAATAAACACTATATCCGAAATTAAGAAGCTTAAAAACACTACCAATGTAAGACTTATGCAGTTGCATGGAAAGGCAAGGAAATGCCCAAAGACTACCAAGAGATTCATTTTCTAGCATACAGAATAAAATGCAAACCATTTTTAAATTAAAAAATCATGATGAATGAGTATTATAGACTTAGATACCAGCATCAATGAGTAGCAACATATTCTAATCTAGGTACAATTCTGCTCTGGAATCCGATACAGTTCCATTATAGGATCCAGGAGGCGCCCCATTTGCCATATATTGTAGAAAACAAGACACCCCTGGAACAATTTATAAAGTTCATTCTTGTAGAAAATCCTGTTCTATAAAAAATTATTCTTGACTTGTAGTGAACATGTATTCATGACAATGTGCAACATCATTTGAAAGGTTTTTAGATGTCTCATTCACAAACTGAAGTTCCAGACTAGGATTAAACTTGTAGATTCCATGAAATAAAACAGTTAAGAATAAATTTCATCTTCACTTATAATGCTAGAGGACAGTTCATATTAGAGCAAATGTCTGCCTGAACTATAGGTTTATAAGAGTAATTTTCCTTCCACAACAAGCCTACTTGAGTCATTACTTTTTAAAAAATTAAAAAGTTATATTAATCAAACCTAATGAACTGTTCCACACATCATTCTATGCCATAATTCACAGCGGTTAATTAACATTAGCATGCTATGTTAACCTTTTACAGTTTAATAAACAATGGTTAAACAAAACATGGTTTAGGATATCCAACCCAGATCAGTGCTTTTTGAATGATACTAGCAATCTACATTAAGGTTTCTTAAACCTTTCTAAAGAACATTTGTGAAGCTTACTACAGTACTATCAAACACACTTTTCTTAATACTTTTTCCTTAATTTGGTTATATTGGGAGTAATTTTCAATTTTTCTTATTCTAGTCTTTGTCATATGAATATTAATGAATACTGACAATACAATAACAAAAATAATGTATTAAATTTGTTTGACAGAGATAAATTTATTCTCATCTAATAGATTGAGAGATTTTTATTAAACATAAAAACAGAGCCAAATCATGTTTTGGTTTCAGTGGTTTTGTTGCTATTGTTAAATCATTAAAAGCATCAAATCCAAGATAATAAACCTATTCTATTTCTTTACAATGGAAACTAATGGCATGTTGAAGACTCCAAATCTATTCAAGTAAAAGCACTTACGATGTGAGATTTTATTTCATGAAGCAAACTTTGATCCCTGTTATTCTTCAAGATGATACAACTGGTATGAGAGGTATTGTTCCTTGGCCCATATTAATTTAAGTAATTTTAAGGGAAAATATTTCAGAATACAAATAATTAAATGTATAGGAATTAGGGAGAGAAGCAAACAAAATCGGCACTGGAAAAGATTCTAGAAGCTGCCCATAACTGAAAGAAATGCTGCATGACTACTTGGGGAGGACATTTAAAAAGATGTGTTAAGCTTGGTAATGAGACAGCACCTAAATAAACAAAGTATTAAGTCTCACCAGTCAAACTATCAGCAACTATCCAGACAGGGATTTAAGAGACCATAAATCAGATACAGTACACCTTGTGCCTCCTGAAGCTAAAAGAGGACAAAAGAGGAGATCAAAAGCACTATAATTACAGATAAGTACAATTAGATGTCAGATTCATTTGAGATAAACAAACAAACAAACAAACAAACAAATAAAATGTTGCAGACTATCAGTCTAAAAACTATAGCCTTTTAATCTCGACTTTCACCTACATTGTGCTATTCACTTCTGAACTTTTACTACAGGGGAAGAACTGTATTGAGTTATATAGTTTTTTTATTTCATCTGAGTAGATGGGATTCTTCTCAATATTTTTTTTTTGTATTGCTGGAGTAGAAGAATAATGGCTACTATAATATGCAGAGTGAGACAAGAGTGATGTTTGTAGGTTTACATAAATCCTAAATTTCTTTAGTACAATCAATATTATGAGTTCTCATGTCTACACAAAGATTCTGATGGTTCAGTCATTAAATATGATTTAAATGAGTAAATTCACCTGTAGTTTGCTAAACAGAATAAACATAAATTTAAACAATTTTTCCTATATATAATGCTTTAGGCAGAAAGCAAACCCAATGAAATGCCCATAAACCAAGTTTTAAAATAAATTACAAGAAAATATTTTTCAAATTTTAAATACTTTGTTGACTAATTTGTGAAATTCCTGTTGCTCTAAACTGCAGTCCTTATTAATACAATATTCAAGCAGTATTCAGAAGAGAAATATAAAGTTTAATGGAAGAGAACTGAAAGCACTTATTCTCACAACCTTAAGTTTCCCTTCATACTCTGGGTTTTTGCAGCCGTCTTTACTATGTATGTAGGCATTCTTGAAAAGTGGTACTATGCAACATGAAAACTATAAGGAAGTTATGCTTAAAGGATCCCAGTCCTCCCAAATAGATTTTTCACTCAAAATTCTGCACCAACAAATTTCTACCTTTCAGCTGGTTCTAGTAATGAGCATTTAATTTTGCAAAACAAAAGTACTCTTAAGTGCAACTGTAACCCATGTGAAGGCTGCAGAAAAACTTCTGGTATTTTAAATAAACCTGAAATATGTATTTTATCAAAGAATCCATTTGGTATAGTGATTAAGACATTGGGCTGGAAACTGGGACATTATGGATTCTCGTCTTCCCTTAGGCATGAAGGGTTTTGGATAAATCATTTTTTCTCACCCCAACTCACCTCACAGGTTGTTTGTTGTGTTGGGGAAAATAGGTGGGGAAGGAACACTATGTACACTGACTAGAATTGTAGAATATAAGGGCAGTATATAAATTAATAAATAATTCTACCTTTACTGCTACTTTTTGACAAATGAACATTTTATTATGGTGTCTTTACCAATGAATAAGAGGGGGGAAATAAAAGTATCTGGTTGCTAAAGCTTACTACAGACATTACGATATTTTTAACCATTGTAATTAGTTATCACATAATTGTTCATGGCCCAGAGTCACTGTGTCAAGAGGGATGGCCATATGAATCTAAACAAACAAAGTATAAATCTGTTTTCATGGTTTAGGCATAAATTTGGCAGCAGTTTCTCATGCATAGCCCTATTTAAAATAAATAGGAACTACTAAGAGGACAATTGTGTTTTCACCCTAATTTTTTAGGGTTGCTTCTTGCTAGTAAGCTCAATGGAACTTGTATCGAAAACGTTTTGATCATGGGATTCATTATTTTGTTCTTTTACATGTCAGGACATTTTAGGCAGGTTCTGACAAATACTTTCTTTGGAAGGCATATAAGCTTGGGACAATACTCTCTCTTTGTCTCTCTGTCTGATAACTGTCTGATAACAAAGTTTTCCATTGATTTTTGTCAACTGAGACCAACATTTATAGGAACACACTTCTTGCTCATTCAAATATGCTTGGCTATTTAGAATGAAAATGATAAATCTGCACAAATTGTTGCCCAGACTTCATTCTCAACCTATAAAAACAAGCACAAAAAAAACACCAACCCCAAGAGGTACAAAGGCAGGAGTCTGCCAGGTAAATTGAAAATTCTGAGAACTTGGGCACAACATCTCTTTAGCAGAGAGTGGTTCAGAAGAAAACTCACTCACTGTCTCTATGAAGCCTTTCCTCTAGTCTTTATGTTTAACTTGGGCTGGCAGTCTAGTTCCAAACCAGCCCAAAGCTACGACAGAAGGAAATAAGATGAGAGTTTAAATCTCTCTTCCCCTCCCCAGCCCGGGATTCCAAATTATCCTTGCACAATTAGAGAAAGGGGGAGAGAGAGTGGCAACAAAAAGACCTTTCCCCTTCTTTCTGGTTGTGTGCTATGGTAGTAACATTTACTGCCACAACTGTGTTATTTATAAAATGGACCATACAATCTAGGCTGCAAACGCAAGGTGTGTCAACATCCCCAGAAGCCGAGACTGCTCCGGGGTTGTGGCTGGGAGCAAACTGGGTCTTCATTCGCGCCTTCTCCCTTTTTTTTTCTCTCTCTCTCTCTCTCTTTCTGTCTCTGTCTCTCTGTCTCTCTCTCTATTCCCGCCCTTCCTATAGACCAGACGCAGCATTTGCAATCATTCTTAGGCCGGCTTCCATGTCAAACTGATGGTGAGGGGCGTGTTATTTCTCGTTTTCTTTTCGTGTTGAACTACAAATGTTCTTTTAAAACCAGACCCATTCCGTGCAGTCTCTGGCAAAGAAACAGAAAGCTTGGCCCAGGAACTGGACCTGGAAAGCAGCGGCGGGAGGGAGGGGGGGGGAAATGAGTGGCGGCTGTTACCAGGATGAGAGCAAGTCGCCACAAAGCAGCAAACAAGAGCCCGAGCTGCTGAGATCTCCCCTGCAGGAAAGAGAATGAAAGAGGCCTCTCCAATGGGGCAGAGGGGAAAGATAGGGGGGCCGAAGGGTAGCTGCAAAGCTCCCCGCACACAGACTGATGAGGCTGGAGTCTCCCCGGCCAAGAAACCTCTCCGCTTCCTGAGAAGACGAGGCACTGGCAGGGCGCCTTTTTTCTCTTCACAAAGCCAAGACGCCCCCAACCCGAGAGAGCCAATGCCGGGTACCTGCCCTTGCCGCCGTCCGCTCCGGCTCCACCGCCACCACCGCCGCGTTACCCAACCAGGAATGACACGAGCTACCGGCGCTGGCCGCGAGTCCCCTTCGTGAAAACCCACCTTCTCGTGCCTACTGGCCCTGGCGCTTGCCAATCAGTAGCCACGGCACCTATAGCGCTTTCTCATTGGCCACGTCTCCCTTCCCGTATGGTAAATAACTCCTCCTTCCAATTGACAATTAACCGCCCGAGGGGAGTCCGAAGTCTCGAGTTCCCAGCCCCCCCCTCCCTTGCTTCTGCGAAAATAAATTTTTTAAAATACATTGAGTAACGCAGAATGAAATCCCAGGCATTAAGTCTCCACCCGATGAACTCCATTACTTAGCTCAACTGGCAATAGCATATCTATCCCTTCCCCCAACGCAATCTTCAGGGATGCCCTGGATGGGCAGCATCTTTAATTGAATGCTGTACAAACCCCACAGGAGGCTGTGTTCTGATTCTTGTTATTGTTATTTTTCCCCCGATTTGTTCTCTTGTTGTTCCTCTTGTGAGTCCTTTAGCCTGGGGATGGGTGGGCAGACCCTACCCGTTAAGCAATGTAGCGTAAACGGTATTTACGCGAACCCTATGCTGGTGTTTATTTAAAAGGCAGGTAGAGGGCAGACTGCGGGGACAAATTCCCGCCGAAGATCACAGGCGACTGTTTTGGCCAGGGTGTAATTTGATCTTGTGTGTACTATCCCCACTCGACCCAGGTATAACTTTCTCGGCACCCTCTCGTGATAAAAGGAGAGGTGCTTTCCAACGCTCTGTGTGGAAGGTAAAGAGGAACTTGCAAAACCATCTTGCAAAAACGTGGCCCCGAAGAGTTCGTTTTTCCAAAAATAGCCTTCCTATTTTCCCGAGCCGTACGAGTACGATAGATGATCCCGTTCCTAAGAGTTCTTGGCTGAAATCGTGGCTAGGAAAGAGACCGTTCTTAAATCGGCGCCTGCGGAGAAACGCTGCTCGAGTAAAATCTACCCTCAGGCAAATTGCAAAGGTTCATTCAACTTGGAATATTCAATAAATCCTGCTTAAAACCTACGGTTTAAAATAAGGAAGACAGGCTTTCCTCTCTAGCTGTATACCTGGCTCACGCACCCGTAGATGGAGCCATCACGTTTGGGTTTTTCCTTACTACTTGTACTACCGTACAAGTCGATCACTGATCATGCATGTTTTTGTTTTTCTGAAAACGTCCATAATGTTATGAAATCTCGACCCTTTCTCCTGGCCAAGATTCTTTCGCAGGAGACCATTTTATTCAATCCAGCCTCTCTTTCTCGCCCTCTCCCCCCCACAACCCCCGCCCTCCAACATTTGTGATCAGAGCTAGAAAAAGAAGAAGAGAGGTCAACAACAGTGGCTGGTTTCTCCGCTGGAAAAGAGGCTCGGATGGAACTAAGCTAATCAGTGATCTAGGATGCGGGAGGTTATTTTGCCAGTAGCTCTAGAAAGTTGGGCTGAAGTATGTGGGAATAGCTGAGGACTATTATGGAAGCTGACTTTTTGAAAACCTAGATATTTCTCCACCAGTACAGAGAATTAAAGGTGAAAAATTGCCCACTTCCCAAGTAAATAAAGGTAAGCATTAAGGCAAGGCATAATTTCACCATGGCCTGATCACTCAGCAACTCCCCCCCCCCTCCATCCAAAAAAACCCCTGCCATCAACTCACCCTCTATGTCTCCATATTATGGTTTTAATTGCATTTCAATATTTGTTCATTTTGCAGGCAAATAACAAGGGAGGAGGACAGAGTTAATGCTACGGAATCTTTATTTTCTTCAATTTTGTGAGGTGAAGATAAGGACTGGTAGCATACTCTGAACAACATCTTCTTTAGTTTATATTTTGTGTGTGTGGTCAGGTCTGTAAGGGGGAAAATGTAAGAATTATATGTTCAAGATAATATATATTACAGTATATTGCTCAAAAAATAACTCAAATGTTTAGAAAAGAATGACAGGACAATTACAGAAATGGCAAATTTCTACTTTTATTCTTAAATATAAAAGGGACATTGCCTAATTTGGGGGGGGGGTAATTTTCTTTTTAAATTAGATGAGGCTTCACCTTTCTCCAATCATCTGATGTTCTTCATGCTTTTGGATTACAACTAATACTGATGGGAGTTGCAGTCTGTGCCTCTGGTTATATATAAAGGATCACTCTTGGAAAAGAGAAAGTGAGAGAAAAGTAAGAATGCTTGTAACATAGTCAGAAAAAGAGGAAGGAATTACTCAGAAGCCTGCCATATTCCTCAATGGCCTCATCATGTCATCTGCCACTTGTGTTTTTGTTATGTTAATAAAATCTTATAAAATAAAGGAGAACATTAATAATTAACACATATTGTCCAATGTATCAGAAGAACCTTTTTAATTTAGCCAAGGATTTTTAATAGATGAGTCTAACTGCCTACAAGCCAACTATTGCAGTCTTTTTTCAAATATTCTGCTGACTATTTTATGAACTATTTAGTTGAGCCCAGAAAAGTCATATTAAGAGAAGACTGGTTCAAATCAGTGTGTTAAGTTAGTCATAACTTAAGTCCCATTAATTTAAATGGGTATGTGATAAGTATGTCTAAACATTAATTCACTGTATTTTTATCACCCCTTAGCAACCAGAGATAATGAAACTAGCTTTCAGTTTGAATAACTATAATACTAATGTTCATGAACATGAGGGTTTCATTAGCAATGCACTTGCTAAGTTTGTAATGTCTGCTATGCAGCATAAAATGTTCATATGCACAGTTTTTGTAAGAAGAGTTTACAGGATCATTTACTATTGCTGGTTTAAAAGCTTGAGTTGGATATGTGGTATAATAATGGATGATTGTTTTGTTATCACTCAGCTTGCTACTTAATATAAGTTTCAGTATGCTGAAGCCAAAAATCAGCTTTCTAAATTCTGCACAGACATACTGAAACTATATTTATAGCATATCATTTTGCTTTAACCAGTATATCCAATTTATGCATCTATTATTTACTTGCTGCCAGATGCAGAAGGAGCTAAGAGAAGAAACAGAAATCAAGTTTTCCCTAAAGACTGTAGATGGTCTGGTATGTCATGATTAGCTACTAGATTGATCTGAATTCCAGGCATTTTAATCAGTATCCCAAAAATTGCAGTGTTCACTTTCAAGAAGTACCTCTTAAAGCTTCTATAACCAAAAGCCCCCCAGATGCAGTGGGACTGTAACTCCCAGATACCCAATTCTAAGAGTTGCAAGAGTCACTTGTGTGGAGTATGTCAGATTTGAGAGACAACCATTCATGCTAAAAGGAGGCAGGCAATATCCATTTAAATTGGGAAGGTACTCTGGGTTATCTAAAGAATAGTACAGGATACTAGCTCTTTGCCTAAGAATGTCTAACAGAGAGTGATTAAAATAAAATCTGTTTAATCTGCATAATTTATGAACATTACAAAATTCTTCCTTTTGTATCGCAGATTGTGGCTTACTCTGTTTCAAAAGATTTTGGTAAAGAAGAGTCATTTCATAGTAGCATGTTAGGAACTATAAAGCACTGAATAGCTACTTTTTATTTATTTTATTTTGTATCTCTCCTTTATTATTTATATAAATAACTCAAGGTAGGGAACATACCTAATTCTCCTAGTTTCCTCAAAAACAGCTCTGTGAGGTGAGTTGGGCTGAAAGAGAGTGATTGGCTCAGGTCACCTAGCCAGCTTTTTTTTAATAGTTCAAGTTTTATTGGTTCACTTTTGCTTTCCTAGGATATTTAACCCAGTCTTGTCTATCCCAGTTCTATTATAAACATATCAATAAACAAAAAATGTACAACTAGCGATATACAAGTGTAGCTTGGAGTTCTAGGCAAGAGTTAATCCTAAGACACATATTTTCTACTTTCAAGGACTGTGTCAAGATACTGAGTCATTTCTCAGTTCCTAACCTTGATTTAATGTTCTAAGTGCCTCAGAAGTAATTTCTTCTACTTCATGGTGTTCAGGAACAGAAAACAAAGTCATACTATATAATATTGACCTTAGGACAGAATAGTGAATAACGTAAAAGAGAATTGCATATATTTCAGTTTCTAATCTAAAATGCTCTCTCTAACAGCAGTATTGTGAGGTCCCAACATTCATTTCATCAGAAGCAACTTATAACACAACAGAAGTTATGTTAGTATTTTATTAAACTACTTTACCATGATTCCTGAATCATTTTCCTGATCAGTCATTACTAGGAAAGTCCCCATTCACATGGATAAGTGTGTGGGGGTGGGCGGTGGGTGGGCATTTAAGACCAGTATCTATCAGTTTCATTTTTGTAACACCAAACTGAATTTGATTTTATTATGACCCATTTACCCTATTTGGTGGAAATATTTTGGAGTTTTTCACAGTGGTGTTTTGATTTTATTGCTATAAAGAATTTGATATCATTTGCAAATTTGTCCATTTTAGTATTGGTGCTTAACTCTAGATCAGACATAAAGGAGCTGAAAGATATTTTATGATGCTGATACTGAGTCAGAATATTGATTTCCGAAGTGGGGAGCACTTTTCACATCTCTTCAATATGAAAATTGTCCATTCCTGCTCTCTAATTGCTAATCCATGAGGATACTACTCTCTTCGGTAAAGGGCTTCATCAGAGGCTTAGATGTTTCAACAGAAGAGAATATAGCTCAGCGTTGAACTTTGGATTTCTTGGTGCTCTCTGAATTTCTTTTTGCTTGCAGACATTTCATTATCCAACTAGGTAACATCATCAGTGCAAATCAAAATATGTCAGATGGATCAATGCTATTAGTATGCTACATCATCTCCCCCTGCTCCTCTTCCTGCCAAAACCTCTTTCCATCTTCTGCTCCAGTTCTATTAACTTCTTTCCTGGAAATATTGCTCTTGCTTTCCCTTTTTTCATATCTCTAGTCTTTGTCCCCTCTCTTCAGATCTTCTGAAGTACTTCACCTACAACTGTTCTCTTTTTCTATCCCTTTGGATACCCCTAGCCTTTCTATCCCTTCTTGGATA